TTTATTTGACGCGTACTTAATTATTTTGTTTTAATGTCCCGAGGGTACTAACATGCAATAGATCATTTAAAATAACTACACGACTATAAGTACACTCGCCATTTTACTATTGGTACTTTGGTTACTTATAACCGTTGTTTACATACAAAATTAGTTTACCGCCAACAACTACAAAATTGGCTTATTAACTATTTACATCATGCTAAAAGTACTTCGACTACTTGTTCATTGCTTTTACTATAGCATAAAACGGACCAGCTTAATCCTAGCCTCAAAAATAGAATAGCATATGACGGATCCACTCGGAAACCGAACCCCCACCCAAGGTATGTACGTCTAGTGTACCCCTCGAAAATCAACTTGATGGAGAAATAAGTCATTATACCTTAATTATCTACATCACAAGGAACTAAGTGAGCAATAGCCCGTAAGTTAACTTATGTATGTCGTGTATGTGAATGTTTATGCATGTGCAAAACACCGGTATATGCATATCAAATCCTTTTTTCATGTCATAATATGTTTCATGATCAATCTAAAAAATCTTTTTTCGTTTTGGACATGTCCCATTTTAGGTACTTCAAGGTCTCAATAATATATGTTTGGCAAACCAAACCCATCTACGGACGCGTCTTCGTCGAGCCTCTAAAAGTGCATATCTATACTTGCCCGACCTCGAATCATTACCATTATCGTAAAACCCATGAAGCACTTTCTCATAAAAATTCCCTAGGTCATGAAAACCACATTCTTTAAACCATTTTCAATTGTTATTGAAAAAACGTGATATAAAAATACGTTTTCATAACTTTAAAACATTTTTCATGAAATTAGACTTGCATAAGCATTTCATTGCTAATGCATAAACATGAAGTGCATGCCATGACTAACCATGTAATTATGCTATGATAATGTATAAAATCAATAACATAATTGCATTAATAATATTACGTTGCATAAACTATACCAACCAACACAATCCATACCAATACTAACAAATCATTCAAACATCATAACATTATAATCATTCACATTTCAACCATATACGACATCCATAATTCAAGCACATTAAATATCATTAAAAAAAAGCACAATTAGGCATATAATTACACAAAATCACCAAAGCCCTAAATTTTTCTTATGTTAGGTCGAATTATACTCCAATATAATGTAATCATTTTCTTTCAATTTTTGACATTCATTTCACATTTAGTTCTTCTCAATTATGTTCTAACTTCATAAACTAAACTAATTAGGTATTATTTGGTTAAGTTTATGCATCGATTTCAATTTGGGCCTTATTGGGCCTAACCTCGTATTTTATTAACTTAAGCTAACCTTTAGATTTTTATAAAGTTTTTCATTCTAATTCATTTAATTAATTATTTCTAAGCTTGAATTAACTAATTTAAGTGTTAGAGACCATTTGGAACCTAAACCCTAAAATTTGCCCATTTAGGCCAAATATACCCTTAATTTAAACCCTATTATTTTCTTCTCTTTTCATTCTAAAATTTTAACACCAAGTAGCTTAGACACATATTAACAATAGAAAATCAATCTAATTAACATTTATGGTATAATTTCATGTCTAAATCTGAATTGGGCTTTAATGGGCCAAAATTAGGCCCAAGCCAAATCAAGCAATTTTCTTTAATTTTCTTGAAATTTTACTTTCCTACCCATCAAATTATGCTTATTCAAGTACTAGTTGATCAACAAATCATGACTTGAATAAATGAAACTCAAACCCTAAAATTTCAAGTTTGGGTCGAATGTGACCCTAGGAATTTCATGAATTAAAATGAGTTTTTTCATTCCTAAACACTAACTCATACCTAATTAAGTCATAAACAAGCTCTAAAACAACAATTATACGTAAGGATCAAAAAGCCTTAAATCACACTTTTGGGTCGAATGGTAACCCTTAAACAACTCTAGCAATTTTTGAGTTTTAAACCTCAATTTCAAGCCCAATTAACATATTTTAACCTTAATTGCATGAATTATAAGCTTAATTTCATTTCTTCTTAATTTATTCCATAAAGAACCCTAACCCTAACCCCAATTTTCAAAATTAAAGCTAAAATTCACAATTAAAGCATATAGATCATAAATTAATATCAATTGAACAACTCTTGTGATGTAGGTGGAGTTAACTTACCAAATTAAGCTCCAATTAAACCTTAGAAGTTGGATGATTTGAGAAATTTTCTTCCTCTCTCTTCCTTCACTATTTCGGCCTAAACCTCCAAAATTCCTTGTGATGAATTTTGATCTTCTAACTTGATTTTTTGGTTTGATTAGTTGATTTGAGGTGTTTGGAAGTGATTTGAGTAGATTTTGGGTGAAAATTCCTAAGAAAATTTTGCAAGAGTTTCCTTTGATTTTAGCTAATTTTCATGCATTTTCACTAATTTCTTGCAACCCTATTTATAGGCAAATTTTTGGTGGACTTTTGGCCTCATCTCCACCATTTAATTGTTGTGTTTTGGAGTAATCTTGACCTTTAAATTAACTCTTAATCCTAGCCCTTCAAATGAACAGGTTTTTAGCCTTTAATTTTTCTTTAATTCTTAACCCTCCATTTTGCATTCCTTTTAACCTTTCCTTTTTTAATTGAGTCAAAGCTCATTAATTAATCCCTAATAATGCAGCAAATTTTTGGCTGGAAGGGTAGAGCAGATGTCCAAAATTTTTCTTAATTTTAGTTCCTCATTTTACTAATCTTTTCTCTAATAACTCATTGAAGAATCCTTTAATTTTTTCAATTGACCACTTTAGGTGCTTCTCTTAAAGGTCTCTTAAATTTTTTTTAGCTCCTTAGGTTCATAGATAATTTAATTTAGGAGTTTAAAATTTTAATTTTATGCAATTAGGTCCTTAATGTTTATGCAATTAGGTCCTTAATTCTAAAATTTTATTCTATACTTTTCCAAAATTCAATTTCTTTCCAGAATAAATTGAAAAATTTATTAATAGAATTTAATCATGATTTAGATAATTTTTATACCCTCATTTAGGCCTCAAAATTAATTATTTAGTGTAAAAATTACACTATTTCCTATAAGAAATATTCCTTATATGTGGAAAAATTAATTTAAATTTATTAGATACTTCTACACATCCTAAATGATTTTTATATGTCTTTAAAAAAAATTCTTCATACTTTCTAAGTGTTTAAATTAATTATTCTACCTCTAAAATATTATTCCTACACATAAAAATTCAAATAAAATATTCACAACATATAAAATAATTCACACAATCACATAAAATAATCCTATACCCCTCTAAAAAATATTCTAAACAAAAAAAAGTTTTTTCATGCACATGCAACATGCTCCAAATAATTATTTCATGCGAAAATTACTATCCCTCGCATTGTAAAATTAATAAAATATTCATTAAACATAAAAAAAACTATTTCAACTATTCTAAATATTCTTTCAAGCCCTTAAAGATTATTTTATACCTTCAAAATATTTCTTACATGTGTTTAATATTTAATTTTTATTAAATTCTAGTTTTAGCGGGCATCGCTTATTACAAAAATAATTTGGAAAAAATTTGACTATACAAAAATAAGTAAATAAACACATGAATTCTATTTTCAAAATTTAATTATATAAAAAATAAGTAGATAAAAACAACTACAAAAAAAAAACACTTATTTGAAAATCAATACATAAGAGAAGACAAATCATATTTACTAATAAATAAAATTATGTGAAAAATAAGAAAAAAAATAATTTGATCAGAATTTTTCTAAGAAAGGAGAAATTGAAGAGATCAATTTTAAACAATAAAAATAATATAATCAGATATATACATATATTTTAAAATCTAAAAATACATTATATATATTTTATAATCATCAACTTGTGTGGAAAAAATAATGATTGATTTTTCATAATTTTATATCCAATTCAATAATAAGAAATATAAATTGGTGAAAAGAATCAAAGAAGAAACTCAAAAAAAAAAAAAAGCTATTGATTTTTCATAATTTTCACACCCAATGTAATAATTTAACAAACATAAATTGGTGAAAAAAAACAAAAAAGCAAAAAAAAAAAAAATAATAATAAAATAAAAGAGAGGCAAGCTCAATGCAGTAAGCCATAGGGTGGAAACAACCAAGGGATCAAAATTTTATTTTAAAACTTCAGAGGCTAAAATGAAATATAATGAAAGTTTTGAATATATATATTGAGAAACAATTAAAAAATCAAAAAAATACTATCCAGAGTCTATAAATAGTGGTATATAAGATGATGAAGAGTGAAAATTACTGTTTAAAACTACAACTCTTTTAGTTTCTTTTAATAATAATAATAATAATAATTTAGTAGTAGTAATAATATTATTATATAAGCGACTAGGAAGCATGTTCGTAATAAAAAGCAATTGAAGCCAGTAGAAGCTGTGTCGTGCCAGCTCATGTACCATAAGACCTGAGCCCAATCCGACGGGTCGTGCCACTCCATTAAAAAAAAAAAACAAAAACGACAGCGTCTTACGGATCGCCACTCCATTTAAAAAATGAAACGACACCGTTTACGTGTCGTTCACACGAAAGAAAGTGGGTGGGAATCAGTTTGCGCGGATGAACCAAACTTTCGCGTCCGTTAATTGTCAAAACAGCGCTCGTAATGCACCCAATTCACTACGTTGCCATCCAAGCCAGTGTCAGCTAGGTTCTTCAATGGCAATGCGAATATGCAATCACTGGCTTCGTTGTAAATAATAGAAAAATGGTACCCATTTAATCCAGTAACCAACTCAAAGGAAAGAAAAAAGTCTTTCAGAAATCAACTTCGAGCGTATCGCCACTAATAACAGCGTCCGGAGTTAACAAAGCAAGCCCTCAGCTACAAAACAAACAATCAAATTTCTCATTTTCTCTATAAAAAGCAACGCAAGTCGTTTTGGGTTCTCTGGCTCTTCTCTTCCCTTCCACTTCCTTTTTTATTCTAAGGAGACACTTTGGACCTCTCATGGCGGCTTCCCTTGCCGGATCCAATGTCGTTGCCTTCAAATCCGCCGCTCATCTTGCCACCTCGGCTGATACCAGAATCGCTCACTTTCGGCCTTTCTCTCCGGTTTCTGCTGGAGTCGGACCTCGCATTTCTCTCCAGTGTAGATCGAGGAGCTCATTTGCTTCTCCTGGTATCTGTTTTAATTTCAAATTAGGGATATAGGAATAGTTGTTTATTTACGTCGGGGATTATTTAGTAGTGATGGATTGATGTAATGTGTGGATCACCCACAGGTGTAAGAGCTCAGGTTGCGACTGCTGAAAAATCGAGTGCGGAGGCGGCGCAGAAGGTGGAATCGCCAGTAGTGATAGTGACTGGAGCCTCTAGAGGTATTGGCAAAGCAATTGCTTTGTCTTTGGGGAAAGCAGGTTGCAAGGTTAGCAAAATTCCACTATCTAACTCAATAGTACTTTCTAATTTCTGGAAAATGGTGAATTCTAGACATATTCTTTCTCTGATATTGCAGGTCTTGGTTAATTATGCAAGGTCATCAAAGGAAGCTGAGGAAGTTTCCAAAGAGGTAAGTGAATCACACTTTAATATTTAGGGGTTTAAGGTTATCTTAGAAAAGATAGCATGATCAAGACTTCTTGAAAACTTGTATTTATTGATATAGAACAATACTTCGTATAAGAATAAGTAACTTTTGTTTTGTTCTTTTATAGACATAAAACAATTGTTATATATATATATATCCTACAATCTGAGCGTGATCCTTGGTTTTTTAAATTTTAATACCAAGGTGTTGTTCAGGTTTTCAAGTTTTAAGGGTGTTATTTATTTAATGGTTAGTTGACCATTAATAATTTCTGGCAATAGCAAGAAAAAATAAAAACGAATTGTTATGACTTGGTCCAATTGGGAAAAAAAAAGGAAACAAGGAAGATGCCAATAACTCTCTTCCAATAAGTTTGAAACTGGCATACTTTGAAGAGCTCAAAATGTGAATTAGTTCCTTTGTAGCCAGATGAGGTTGCCAAAAATGTTTCCCATTTGTTATGTGGCCCTTGCCCCTTTTCCCTTTTGAAATGAAAGTAAATAATGAATAAAATGGAAATGGGACTCGCCTTTTCTAGATGAAATTGGTAGAGATAATGATTTTTAGTTTAACAGCATCATCAGATTTCATTCAAAAAATAATTTTTCTCAAACCCGCAAATTTCAGTTTACTTCCTGTTTTGTAGATCGAGGCTTATGGTGGTCAGGCCCTCACTTTTGGGGGTGATGTTTCAAAAGAAGCTGATGTGGAATCAATGATGAAAACTGTGAGCAAATGTTCCTTCTGTTGGTTGAATTTTGATCAAGAATATTTTTTACGGGGATGCTAATGATTTGTCACATTTGCAGGCTGTTGATGCTTGGGGAACTGTTGATGTACTGATAAATAATGCAGGTTAATAATAACTCTTACCTTTCCTCGTTAGTTACTGTTTTCCTTTTAGACCTTGTAATTCATAAACCTTGATTTCAGGAATTACACGGGATACGTTATTGATGAGAATGAAGAAATCTCAGTGGCAGGAGGTTATTGATCTGAATCTCACTGGTGTATTCCTTTGTACGCAGGTGTGTGCATTAAAATCAAACTAACTTGATCTACCTGATTCTTATGGTTATTTTAATCAAACTGAGAGTGTGCTCTTTGCAGGCAGCAGCCAAAATCATGATGAAAAAGAGAAAGGTAAGATTGCATGCCCATCTTCAAGTCTATTGGTCTTCCTTGTTCTTTGCTAATTAGGCCAGTGACAGATTTGTGTGTGCCTGTTAAATCCCCAATTCGTTATAGTTTTGAGCCTTTTTCCTTGCAAGTTTAAATTTCTTTCGTTCATCTCTTATACATAAATCTTCTTCAACAGTGTCAGATTGTTTTTGAGATGTTATCATAGACTGAAATTCCATTTCTTCATATCGATACTTTTACTGACAACATGGAGTTATATCTCGAAGTTACAATAACTTTGAGATGTATCACTATAAGTGTTTCCAATGGGTGTATGCATGTGCACGGACTTCTCCAAGTCTGAGGATAATACCAGCTGATTCAGCTCCTTTGTAGCTACTATCTAGTATCTAGTATCAAATAATTTGCAGAAATTAAATGATAAACAGACACATTATATAAGTTCTGATAAGTGAAATTTTTAACTTTTGCAGGGAAGGATTGTTAACATAGCATCAGTTGTTGGTTTGGTTGGCAATGTTGGGCAAGCAAACTATAGTGCTGCAAAGGCAGGAGTTATTGGGCTGACAAAGACTGTTGCGAAGGAATATGCAAGCAGAAACATTAATGTGAGTTTTCAAGAGTTTTTTTTTTATTATTTTATTTTAATTTTTTAAAAAATTGTTCTGCACTTTCCAAGTTTTTGCATGAAAATCAGGTCTAATTAAGCTAATTTTCCAGGTAAACGCTGTTGCCCCAGGATTCATTGCGTCGGACATGACTGCCAAGCTTGGAGATGACATTGAAAAGAAAATACTGGAAACAATCCCCTTAGGTGAGAATATAATTTTTCAAATGTTTTACTTTTTGAACTAAATTCTGCATGGATTTTTAGGGTTTGAGAAGCATTTATGCAAAACTCATCTGAAAGTCCTCATTTTTTTTTTGCTTTTGCTTTTAGAAATGTGCCAATATTGCTATCTTACATAGTTCATCAATCTTTGTTTATTTATAGTAGTAGATGTGTGAATATTTCTCCAGTTCAATACTTTTATTGAATGTCATTGTCAGTTTGATCTTGTTATTTTACTGATTCAACTACTGTAATAAGTTGAATTTTTTTTTCGTAAACATCTTATAGAATTATGTTCAGATGATGCTCACAACAGTTGCTATGTACTCAGGACGTTATGGCCAACCAGAGGAGGTTGCAGGATTAGTCGAATTCCTGGCTCTTAATCCTGCTTCCAGTTACATTACTGGACAGGTATTGAATCTATTCTATTTTGATTTTCCTTGTTTTGTAAGTTTTAACTGGTTATAGCCCAAACCTGCTCTTCTGATTGTTTTCTTTGATTTTTTTGTGTCATGGCATTGCTTGCCTAGGCACTGGTTTGTTTCTTCCCTTGATTTGTCTAGGCCACCAATTGCATGCTTTGACTTTGCTTGTGAGTGAGTTTCATCAACTTGGCTATCCCTTAAGGAGCCATGATCTTGTGACAATTTATTGGCTAAACAGATTTAGCTAATAAGTCTCAAAGAGAGCCAAATTGTAGTGGTTTGATCAATCAGTGCCTTGGTTTACCAGAAACATGCATTGCATTGGCATTGCCTTTGCCTTACATTGCACTTACTTCCTATGCTATGCCATGGCCAAGAGCTGCATGTGACGAGTTCCACTGGCTAAAGCTAAGTGTTAAATGGAGCCCCTGGCTTAGGCATCCATGGCAAGGCTGAGCCAAGTGAAGGTCATTCCAGCTAATGAATGGTGAACTGAGCCCCTGTTTCATTTTCATTGCACTTACTTCCTATGCATTGCATAGGCACTGGTTTGTTTCTTCCCTTGATTTGTCTAGGCCACCATATTGCTAAGTTAGATTTTACTGTTTTGCAGGTGTTCACTATTGATGGAGGAATGGTAATGTAATTTTGACTTGGGAAAGACAGTTTTTGGAAATAATATAGCGGTGTAATAAATGATATCACTCGGGACAAATTTTGATAGGGTCATTTCTGAAATGGAAGAAGAGATGTGTAACAGTTTTTCCAGGCTTTGATTGGCATATGGGAGTGTAATTGATGTGGTATTCGTAGAAATATGGTGTTTATGCTAGTAGTATATTGAAGGCAAATCATTGAACCTTCCAAATTGTGAGAGAATTGCTTCCTACCAATACGTTGAACAGTAATGGAAGTGAATGTCTAGGATTGAACTGGTCGAATCTAGCCCTGAGGATTTGGATTTAAGCTGGATAAATAAATAAATATCCTAATTTCCTTTCAACTGTTTAGGAATTAGGGGAGTGTTTCAATGAAATAGGTTTTTTTTTTTTAATTAATATACGATTTATCATGATCGCATGTCTAGATTCTGAAAACCAAAAAGCGGAGTGTTTTATCACATTTAAACTTTTAAGATAAGGAGGGGAGGTTCTAGGAGGAGCTGTTCTGATTGGAAAATACCCGAATATCCTTTAGAGGATAAAGAATAACTTACAGACTGGATACAACCTTAGCGTGTGTCGCTAATCCAAGCATCAACCTTTCCTTTTCCTCGTGGAACACCAACTTTTAATTTTTTTTTTTATAGACCATTTCTTTTCCATAGCAGATTGTTAATCGCTATACTTTACGCTATTAAGAATCTTGACATTACTCAGCCTTGGTGCATTGCTTTTTATTTTGGTATTGTGAAAAATTGACAGCGACAGGATTGAAAGCTATTGGTTTAGAGTGCACTGTGAGATATTATTCACCTGTACAGAAATTCACACCTATCGTGTTTCCATCACTTCGAGCCCCCTTTACCTCCCCAGCTTTAAAGAATCCTCAACCATTTTCTTTTCTTTTTTTGATCTATAAGAATTCTGAACCTTGCTTCAATCGTTTATAGCTATATCTCTCTGTCCTTTGGTGATAACAGAATCCTCAAAAAGTATCGATCTTGTGTGATTACCTGCAACGAGGTGGTATGGATACTCTAGTTCTCTGGTATCCAACCCTACCCACAGTCTTTGTTGTGTTTCTCTCCGTCTATTTTTTAGCTTACTCTGTAATTTTTCGAAACTGGGAACTAAAACAGCGAAAAGAAGCTTCAAGCTGCTTCATGTCTCTGGCTCATGGCAGTCCTGCGGTTATTATGGCTGTCCGTGCGCTACTACTACACAGCCAAACCTTACCGACCTTTGCTTCTCCAAACTCTGCTTTCGATGACACAGTTCTTGAATTCAGTATGGCTTATTTCTTGGTGGACCTCCTTCACTACATGGTATTCTTCCCTGACGACACTCTCTTCATACTTCACCATTTAGCAACATTGTACGTGTTTGTCACTTGTCGTTATATAATTCATCATGGAGCATATGGACTTCTTCTGCTTCTCATACTTGCCGAAGTTACAAGTGCTTGCCAGAATGTCTGGAGCATTGCCAGGATCCGGAAAGCTGATGATCCTGCCGCGGCAAGGTTGTGTGAATTTTTGGCTCCTCCATTTTATGCTTTCTACTCTATTGCTAGAGGTGTTCTAGGTCCTGTTTGTTTGTTGAAGATGGTGGTGTTTTATCTAAATGGAGGCGCTCATGGTTTGATACCTGGCTGGGCTTGGATTTCTTGGATGGTTGTTATTGGAAGTGCAATATTGGTTAGCATATTGTGGGTTTCAAATCACTGGGCAGACTGGATTAGAGAGAGAGGCCATCAAGCACAGAAGAAAGTTGGGTAGAATTTGGGGTTGCTATAATGTTCGAATTGGCTTTGGCAATTGTGGTTTAACATGTATCATAACCCCCTTGGGGGTTTGTAATCATCCTGATTGGTGGGTTAGGCGAAGATAGAACATTTATTTATTCAAAGAAATTGTTTTCCAATTATCAAGTGGTGATCACCCATCTGTGTTTGTGAGATTACTTCTGTGATCTATTGCTGGACCAAATTGGGTGAAACATTTAACGAAATTATACTTTAAACTGAACTCTCATTTTAAAAGACATTGCATTAGCTTATTCTGTTAATGCAAATTGATAAATGCATACATGGAGAAGTGAAGTAAATGAATAAAACATAGTTTTTATGCTAAATAACTTGTACAACGAATATTCTGACTGTTACAAAAGAACTAGATTGATCATGATGGTCATCATTGGCACTAATTGCAACATCAGGTGGAATAATCCTTCTGAATCACTCAACCTATGCAATTAATATAACTAATATGCGGAAATCTTGTATTGCAATGAGTTTTCTGAACCCACTGTTGATCCAATAAATTGAACATTAGCTGTGTTAGATCTTCAATTCCGATCTTCTGCGCCTTTTGCTGGGGCATTTTGAGTAACATTTGAGTTTGGCACGTCCCTCAGAGTTTAGGTCCAGGATTTATATACCTATAATTGAAGCATTCATCTTGTCAGGACTCCCCTGGTAGTTAAGCTCTGCAAAAGTGCCACCTCCCTCTCCCTTTGCCAGTCTTCCTGGGTTTATGCATATGCACTTCCTTTGCTCTTCCCCTTCACCCAGGGACAACACCTGTGCCAGAGAACGCACATACTTCACCAGTTAGTTACATTGAGATTATTTGCATATCTTTTTTTTTTTTGGAAATTGTGACTAAAACTGAAAAGATTCAAGAACTTGGCGCTAAGTTTACCTTTATAAAGTACTTCATATCTGAAGGCAGGATGAGAATATCTGGGATTGATGTAATGTTAAGAGCTTCTGGAGCAAGTGAAAAATCCAATGGAATGTCTTCAGCTGGTGGATATAGAGGATAAAAGCTGTTCCAATTATTTAAAAATGATGGAATGAGGTAATCGAAAGCCTCTGATCTGTTGAACCAACAAAAATATCAAGTGGAGTTTACAATAAGAATTTTCAAACATGCCTACGCTGACTGATAATATGGTTTGCAAGTCTACTCATTCGATCACTGGGTGTTCCATCTGCAGGATTTCGTGACATCTCCTCTCTGCTTATCTGTTTTAGAATGTCCACTGAGCAGCATCCTACTTTGACCTGAAATTGAAACTATTAAACAGAATATATGCCTTGCACACTCTGATGCAGATGCAGGTTTAGGAGAAAAAGAAGGATCATTCTATTACTCAGGCAGAAGATTCTATCCACATGCACACAATATATGAAATTTCTCGTTTACGGAACCCCAACCTAGACTGACCTTGAAAGGGGTTCAAAAAATTTAAGTTTCCTTTATAATCCTTTAGGGGTGGGTTATTAGGATGGAAAACTTTTGTCCTGAAAGTTAAAAGTTCCTTTAGGTTATCAATCTCATGGTTTGCTAGCCAAGCAGATAGCCAGAAAATCCAAAACAATGAACATTTGCCTATAAAAATCTGATCTACTTGGTAAACCATCCAATGGTGAGCAATCAGTAATTGGAGATGACTAAGGTCTACAAAAGCCTCGTCATAAAGATTGAGTAATGGTTACAAACCTAGCACATTTGAATAAGAAAAGTTCATCGAACACAAGACAGTTCAAAGTTGATTGTCCAAATAGAACTTGTAAGACATACAGGAAAGCTGAATGGTTTTTCAGAACAATTGTGAAAAATAGAAATGCTAAATCAGAACTCCAGCAGCAAAAACCCAAAAAAGCATTCTTGAGAGTTTCAAGCACGAAGAGTTGAAATTTTGAGAATAAAAGCAGACGCCATTTTTACCTGATTTGCTTCAAAAATTCCTGGATTTGAGAGACTGACTATCTGAAAGGACAGAAAATAATTTAAAATGTGTGACCTGCATGTGGAAAATGTAATGCAAATACCTTGTTTGTTTGTTTGTTGTTTTTTTTACTTAAACAAGTACCTTCTTTCCAGTTACAACATGAATGACTCGAATCATATATCATGTACCTGATCTTTGAGATTGGGGGAATGAATATCAAAAGCAGGCTGCAAAAGCACGACTAAATCTCAGTAACAAATATACACATCTATACCTAGAGATGATATACACAAGACATCCACGAGCATGCTTAGTATGTTCAACAAAAAGGAATTATTTTTAGCACTCAATTTAACACTATCATCACCTGCGGGAAAACATAATCATGCTGAGCATCCTGTATAGATGGAACAAGAATCACACGCACATAAGTGCCAGTATATTCCACATGGTCTTGCAACTGAAAGAATAAACATCAAAATGATTATAAAATAATGAAGTTGCTTCCTTGAAACAATTCACCACTTTTTGAGTAGTTACCCTTCTCAGTATTTCCAGACGAAACAACTCATCAAAGCTCCCGTCTATAGTCCCTTTCTTAATCTCTGGATGTTCAGAATCAACGAATGGTCCCATCTAAGAAAAAGCGCTAATAAGTCTATGACATGATCTTTCCTGAGCCAATAACCCAAGCATGATATTGAATTCAAAAATAGTACAATCATACCAGTATAAGCAATTGCGGTAACTTTCTGCCTGCATATGCTAACAACTCTGTCAGAGGCTCAAATAATAAATTATCTGTTGTGGTGAAAGGGCCCGAAGCAATAAGCTGTTAAATAGAAAAGAATTATTTCTTATAGGATTGAAAGATTGCAGGAATACATGAGAGCAAATGTGGTTCCTCAATTTAATATGATATCACATGTGTCTTATGAATGAAAACATCGAGAAAAGCAGTGAGGTTTGAATTTCTATTGTACAAGGAGGCAAGTTTTATCTATTTCAAGCAGCAATTTAAAACCTTCTGCCTTCTCAGCTTTGCAGTAGTTTTATTCCCATCTGAAACTCTTTGATTCATTATTTTCTATAAGTTCATCATTGATCCTGAAACATTTTAAAATATTTTAATTCCACATTTTTGGAGAAATGCTCTACTATTGTATTCTTCCAATGTTTGCACCCTAAATCATCCACCGCATCCACATCAGCAACAGCTATGAAACATGGTATATATAGCTTATGATCAAGCACAAGAAACAGAGTTATTCTAATATTCTCAATTGCAGCAGAAGACAAGGCTACATACAGCTGATATCTCTTTTTGTACATAAGAAGAATCAGTTGACTCAACGTCCTGATCCAAAGCTTGCTTCTTTGTAGGATGCTGATTCACAGCAGCAGGGGCAGATAAAGGAACAGAGTCCACCAATTTTGATGCAATCAAACAATGTCCGCTAGGATTTTGACCTTCAATAGCTACAATCTACGGAAATGCAACCTTGTGGGCTAAGCTTGATTTAGGAACATATGAATCAAAGATCTATGATCTTATTATCTTACAGTTTACCTGTCCTGGAAAAATGGAGAACTGGTTCAAGTTATGCAAGTCTAAACGAACATTGCGGCCTCCAGAATGCTGAACACTGTTGCAAAGAAATGGCACACATAATCAGGACTAGCATTTAACAGTTAGTTCCCTGTGACTATCTTTCATATGAAAAAAATATCCAACACCCTGGTCGTCAGATCTTTTGACTACAAATCTAGGAACTGGGCAACCAAGGCCCTGCTGTAACCTGGACACAGCCCTTCAGGGACAAACTTGGCCAAGACAGTTATTTTTATCACATTGCCTCATACACAGGCTTCTTCTAAACTAAGATCAGATTTTTAGACCATCAATTGACATCATTGTTGTTTTCCTTAAATATACTAGCAAGTAAATCAGCTTGATCATGGATGTCCTAATATGCACATCGTATCAAGTCCCTTACAAGTTGATTGATGCAGATGAATAGCGCAAAGGAAAATCCTGGGACTTCTTACCTGCTTTGCAACATGATGGAATTCTCATTTAAACGACCTTCTCCATCACAACAGATCATTCCAACAGCGAGTATATTTCTCTGAAACAATAGTTCACATTGGAAGCATGAATTCCCAGCTTTATGGCAGCATAAAAGTCCTTTAACATAATGCCTACTGAGAATTTAGAGAGACTATTTCATCAAAGGCAAAGTAAAAAATAATCTTTTTTTTTTTTTTTCACAACAGAGAGAGAGAGAGAGAGAGAGAAGCAAATAAAAGAAGAGGGTGTAGGGAGAATCCTGGATACAAGAAATACTAACATAATTGATATGTTAGGGCCCCAGTACAGTCATTTACATCCAACAGCGAAAAGCAAATGGTCATAGTATTACATGCTGACATGATTGCAGTTATCAGAATGCTAACAAGAAGATGAATATCATTAAAACAGACAGCAGCCAAGTTACCTGTGAGGCGACTGTTGGGTCCATTGGTTCCTCATACAGGCCAGAAGCAAAAAGTGCTGTTGCATGCTTTCTAATTCGATTTTCAAGTGCATTGAACTAACAATAAGAAAATTATGTCAGTTCAATACAGAAAAAAATGGAGGTAAGAATAACCACTTCTTAGTTTATGCAACAAGAAGCACATACCCTATCTTCAATCCTGTCATACATGAACCTGCAACCAGGATCTAGTCCCAATTCATGGACCATCAAAGAACACCTCTTGCAAGGTTGAGCCCTCTTAATAATCTCATCCTCAAGATTCCCATTGTCATGCTCATCGTCATTGTTTTCCACAACCGAAAGGTTAACAATGTTGAATTTGACCTCAAACTTATCAGAACGTCGCCCAAACGGTGTCACAAGTTTTGATGGTTTCCCAGAAGAATAACCATTTCCATATGATTTGGGTGTTGAATCGAATGGATCCGAGTAAAGTTTTAGTGATTTGTCCGTTGGAGTGCCAGGAATTTCTTCTTTCAAATCTTCTTCACCGTAATTCAATATCCTAGACAGCAGGTTATATTTCATTCAAATTTAAAGGACCAAACATTTTCAATCCAGCATCAAAACAAATGAACAAGCAAAACAAAGAAACATAAATCAAATAAACCGCTCACATGTCCACATCTTTGCTTGAATAGATATGCAAATTGGGTTCCTCTTTAAAAACAGCGTCTTTCTGTTCATTTTGCAAGTGCAACAAGAACCCATCCATTTCAGCATTTTGAACTGTCGACCCATCGAGTTGCCTGTCTCGCATTCACATTCCTCGCACAAGGTTAAGCTTGAAAGACATTTTTTTTTTAAACTTATGTGAAATTTCAATAAAAACAAATAAATAATCATGAAAAAAAAAACATAGAGGGAGAACAAAATTCACCTATTAAGATAGTAAACCTCCCAGCTTGAGACAAGTTCTGATGGCTTCAGATTGTAATTTATACAGAAAGTAATACCTAACAAGTAAAGCAGATCAGGGCTTGAACCATTGGCATTGCAAGAAAATTAAGGGGCTGAAGTGCAAAGCCGGGCTTACATTTCTTGAGGATTTCTTCTTCATCGTCTAGAGCGAACCCGATCTTGTTGAATTCTGCTTTGATTTCCTCTTCCATCAAAAAGACTCTCTCTCTCTCTCTCTCTCTCTCTCTCTCAGATTTCTCTCTCTTAGGGTTTCGTTGCAGAGCAAAATGGCGGGAAAATGTTGCTTTGCAGTAAATAAATTGGGAGTCTTCCCGGGTTTTTAATTTGTACTCCCCTCTGCTTTACATTTCTGAAAATGCCCTGAACGAAGTCCGGTCCAATGGGCCTGCCTCAGCCCGTTTGCCCGGCAAATGGTTATAGATATTTACTAAATACGTACTCGCGCTACGCCACAGTCGGGCCTTTTGTCAGATGAATTACACTCCCTTTTTTTTTCAACCGATATCAAAATTATTTATCGAAGTAAAGGAAGACAGTCAATTTTTTTTTTGTTTGTTCAGTTTTGTGCACGTAATTTCATTAGAAAACATATTGTTGGATGATAAATGTCTTTTAACATAATATATATCGACAAAGTCTGTAAGCTTAAAAAAAGCGACGTAAATAAGTTACACGATCAATTTTTTTTTTAACATAAAATGCGTGAATAGGTTGGCAAAGACAACTAGTTTGGCACAAGAGGTAGATTCTCGTAGTCCGTATCATCGACATCGTCATTGAAGGCATGGGTTGTAGCAAAATGATGGCCAAACTCTTTGTTGAAGAAGTTATAATCGCGAATGCAAAAAATCTTAGTATGATCAATTTTCTCAATAAGGATTATTGCTATGGTATATACGTATTTGAAACCATTGTTATAAACTAAATTCTTACAAGCTGTCATTAAAGAATTCTTTTGTAGTCTCGATCTGGTATGAACATTGAAGGTTTGGTAATGTCGTCACTCGTGATGCTTATTTTGCGATATCCGCAATCGTAAAAAAAGATGACACATTAATATGCAAGTGTATAGAGGAGATGAAAAGATGACTATTGTGGAGGAAATATTTGTCATACAACTAAGAGTGTTTTGTTGGATGTGATCGTGGGATTGGTTGTTGGTGGAGTAATTCATGGGTTGTACAATAGTAGTCCGTTATAAATTCTCGAGTAATGCATTGCAGTTTGGGCAAGTTGGATGCCACCATTCATATCTTGTGTCGAAGCGCGCAATTGCAACTCGATTGTCAAGAAAATTTTATGTGAGAAGCAACGAGTAAATAACTACAAAATATATATTCAACGTGTTTTTATTTTCTTTTTAAAAAAAGTATAGGCATGCATAATAACTATTTTTTTTAACTTGAAATTGAGAAAAAAAAGTTGTGAGACTCGTAAATGAAATTTATTTATAAAAAAACATCCGATGTTCTTATATTTTTTTATGGAGAGCATGAATGAAAGCGCAAAACTTGTCTATCCGGAATAACTAGCTAGAGCAAGTGTTGAACTGTTGTTATGTTTTCATTTCTCAAGAGTTCGATGTTCATTTGTTTGGTGTTAAGGTGTCAAATATCATTTGGGATAAACCGTGTTATGTTAGGCAAATGATGGGATCCAAAGCAATTTGTTAGCTAGTGGAAAAGAAAGATGAGAATCGAGTGTTTTCATAGGTTTTGAGGATAAGAGACTAGAAAAGGTTGAAATACAAGGTTCTATTAATTGAGTGAGAGAAAAGTCCAATTGTTGTGTAGTTTAAATGATGTATTTCTCTGTGGCTTGTAGTCTAACAAGAAAAGTAGAACAAAAGATGTGTTACTAAGAATGTGTATTGCAATGCATTTGGTTAAATAATAGAACTGGCTTGTTGCTTGCAGTGGTAAAATAATAATGAAAATATAAAGGAAAAGAAAAACACTAAAAGAATTTAAAAGGAATAAAGTCGGCAAGCGGGGTAACTAGAGAAATAATTAGTTGATTGCTTGATTGTTTTGAACCATAATAGTAAGTGGATGAGTTTTGTTATTGCACTTGAAAAAGCGATGAGCAAATGCACATATAAGCACAAAATTCATACACGAAGCATCCGGCAACACATGTGATTTTTGTTTAAAGAGTTGTACCATTGTATATTTTGTTAAAATTGCTTGGATGTTAGGTTATTTTATTGATTGTCGTGCTGAATTTCAGCTTTAATTTTTTTTTCCTTCAACAAGAAGTGTGTTAATCTAGATGGATGATTTATTAGGTGAGTAGGACATTGACGGACCAATCAATGAATCGATGGATGAGGGAGGTGAGAAGTATTGCCATTGTATTTTCTTTAACATGAAAAAATGATTGCTTAACACATTAGATATTGAAAAAGAAAAACAACTCATGAGTTATAGAGACATCTAAAGTCATGTGTCCGATCCTAATGCGAACAACTAATGTTTTGTTGGCAAGTTTTATGTCTTGTCAAATTTGTGTGTTGACGGATCAATGTAAGTGTTTTTAAAACTTTGTATGTCAAATAATTGAATACCGACTACATTAAATTATTCGGAAAGTTGTGTAATATGAATCAAAACCACTTAAAAGGTAGATGAAAATCTATATTTATGTATAAATAGCATGCAAATGATTATAGGTAAGTGATATTGTGGATTGAAAAAAACAAATAATATATGCATGCATCTACACATACACACATATTAATTAATGTTTAGATGAGTGAATGCATTAAGGTTTTTAAAAGTGTGTTTGCAATGGTTTTTTCAAAAACCAAAACAGTTGGTTTTAAAGGTTCGGATTACAAAAAAATAAAAAATGAAAAAATTATAACACAAAATCATGGCATTTATAGATCAAAGGATTATGCAACAATACAATAGATATTCGGTAGTTGTGTATCTCCAAAGGCAAAAAACTTTTAAAAAAGGTGAAGAGCTTTATAATCTGTCTTCTCTAAGAATATGCATCATTCTTCTAGTTTTAGTTATGCTATGATAGCAATTTAAAAAGTTTATAAAAATACGTGTAATGAATGAACTCTAATGTTTTGATAAAGTTCGACCTTTTGTTTTTTAAGGTGCATATTTTGCTCGACTCGCAACTATGTTATGAAGTCGGTGTTTGTTTGAATTGTGTTAGAACTTACACAAGTTGATGTTTTTGAATCTAATTATTCCCTTGTTATATATATATATATATTGGGTTGCATAACAACTATAAATAACGGCTATTAGTTCCAGCGAAGGCGAAAGAATATTGATAATTTTTTATTGTTTACAAAAATTGGCAAATAAACTCACGATGATAGAGTGACTAGTCATGAAAAAAAATACTGGAATTGTGAGTGTAGCTTGAAAAATTTACATAAGAGATTGAAAAAACTAAATAATAGGCCGGAAAAAACAATGGTTAAAATGTCATTTGGAATACTTAAGGCAATCATGTCATGCATATAAAGACATAGTTTGTTTATAAAATATTATGCGAGTACATACTAATAATTATGTTAAGAATTTTGTAGAATAAAAAAATGAGGCACACATCAAAATTACATTCATACAAAGAAGTTAATGTATGACATAAAAACTCTATAACAACACATAGAGAGAAGGTCAAATAGGAACAACCGAGAATGACTATTAAAACAAATAATTATTCAAACATAGAAAAAAAAGGCATCATCCGGAAAGACTAACTTGGTAGTTGTCGAATGAAAAAAGGCATCGATCTATAATAATAAAAAAGAAAGCCGGATACTAAAGGTATACAAATTGGAAAACATAACTCATAAGATATGTAAGAAGGACATTCAAATCTCAAAGTTAGATGAAAAAAACAACAAAAAAAAGTCAATCAACAACCTCTATAAACTATATAATGCGGATATAAAATAGATTTATAGAGCAAATCCAAATCCTAATGCATGTAACGAGCAACGGACCGCAAAGAAGCATATACATATATGGAGGGAAATCTAATAAGAAAGAAGAGAGTGGTATATGGTGGCATTTGGCTTCGTCACCAAACAAAAATATACAAGAATGAAAAACAAAGTGAACAACCAAATCACTAACAAACACCATATATTTCACAAACTAAAATAAAATGAAGGGTCCAATAAAACAAACCTTTCTGCTATATTATTTTGAACAACAACTAAAAAGCACAAAGATCGATCACTCGTGCATATATAAATAGTAAAAGTCCTTAAAATAACAATACAATAAAAAAAAACAACTTCAAATAGCTGTGAAATTGAGAATAAGAAAATGCAACTACGAATCTAAGATGTAAAGAAAGCTAAATCCATTAAAAAATTTTTTTTATAAAAAAAGTTTTCAAACAAACCTATGATGGACAAAAAGAATGATGGATGTAGAAGCACACAACAAACACAAGAATTATCAATCAATTAGAATAGCAACCATTCAAGAAATGAAAGAGAAAAAACCTAAAATTATAACAACAAATATAAAAAGAAAAAACCAAATCTAAAAGGCCAACCAAACTAATTTAAAAGTAAACTATAAAAAATACATAAGAGTAGCATGAACGAATTGATAGCCATATGCAAAGAAAAACATCAAAAGCCAATAAAATGAAGAAATATAGTTAAACTAAAAGACAAATACAATGAAAATGACAAGACATGAGCAAGCAAACGAGACAAGTAAAAAAGCACAATCAAAGAAGAAACATAAGTAGAGAGAAAGCAACAAGAGGAAATAGGTATAAAATTTTTTAAAAAGGCAAGATTTAAAAAGCATATGCATAAGGATCAAGAAACACTACCGGAATCAAGAAACTATAAACAACAACAAAACTTGCAACATAAAAAAAATAAATGAGTCCGGACACGGAAACTAGTTAAAACAAACAAATAACGACCACAACATAGTGCCTTTAAAAAAATCATCAAAGAAGAATCAAAAGTGATTAACCCAGTGAGTTACTAAGACAAAGAAAGACAACGACATGTAATAATCGAAAGATGAAGCAAGAATAAAAGGTAAACAAACTACCAAAACACAACTCATAAGAGATGCAACAAAAAGACATTTAATCATAAGGGTTCAATAAAATAATATGTGCATAAAGAGAAAATCAAGTCTCTATAAATCAAATGAGGTAGATATAAAATAGGTTACGAAGAAAA